GGAGTGAACCAGCAGATGGAAGACCTTTCTGTCTGTCTCTCCCTCTCTCTGCCTGAACTTCTGCCTCTTAAATAACTAAATATATCTTTAAAAAGTGCAGAATGCGTCCTGATTTTCAACAAGTTCCCATGAGACCAGTGCTGCTGGCCTGAAGACCACGTGCCAGCAGTGCAGCAGTTTCCCCATTCTCTGGGCCCAAACCACTGCTCTTTGTCGAGAGCATGCTTGTCATACCACGCCTAGCCAACAGAGGCCAGCAGCGCACTCTGAGAGCCCAGCAGGACTGGGTCTCACCACCGCCTGGTCCACAAGCATTCCTGTAAAGGGAACTCAAGACTCTCCAAAGTTAGCTTTGAATTTCCAACCAAGATCATCAAGAGGGAGACTTCTAAGTATATGGAGAATCTTTTTTTCTCCCTAAAAGTAGAAAGGCGGAGCAGGGAGGTGCAGTTGCAAGTGTTCCATACTGGAGTGTGTGCTTTGAGTCCCAGCTCTGCTTTCAATCCCAGTTTCCTGCTCATGGGCACCCTGGGAGGCAGCAGAAGATGGCCCAAGTAATTTGGTCTCTGCCATCCATGTGGGAGACCTGAATGGAGTTCTGTGCTCCTGGCTTCAACTTGGCCTAGCCCCAGTTCCATCCACTGGATGGAAGATCTCTCTCTCCCACTTTAAAATAAAATGAAAATAAAAATATAAGTAAACATTTTAAATCAACTGCATTTGCCACAACAGCTAAGCTATCACTTATGATGCCAGCATCTCCCATATCAGGCTGTCTGGGTTCTGATCCAGCTTCCTGCTAATGCGCATCCTGAGAGGCCACAGATGATGGTTCAAGTACTTGGGTTCCTGCCACCCACGTTTGGAGACCTGGATGGAATTCTGGCTTCTGGCTTTGGCCTGATCCAGACCTGGCTGTTGCAGGCATCTGGGGAGTGAATCAGCAGGTAGAAGAGTTCGTTTTGTCTGTCTCTCTGCCTTTCAAATAAAAATAAACAAATGAATGAAAATTTTTAAAAGAAAAACTATCTCATTACTACTTAAAAATAAAGATCTGTTCGTGTCTCACTGTGGAAATTTGACATTTGTACTTGATAAGAAGCACTTTGGCGGGTCTGGTGCTGAGGTGCAGCAAGTTAAAGCCCTGGTCTGCAGTGCCAGCATCCCATATGGGCACTGGTTCAAGTCGCAGCTACTCCACTTCCTATCCAGCTCCCTGCTAATTCGCCTGGGAAAGTAGTAGAAGATGGCCCAAATCCTTGGGCCGCTGAACCCATGTGGGAGACCCGAAGGAGCCTCCTGGCTCCTGGTTTCGGATCAGCTCAGCTCCAGCCATTGTGGCCATTTGGGGAGTGAACCAGTGGATGGAAGACTTCTCTCTCTGTGTCTCTACCTCTCTCTGTAACTCTGTCTTTCAAATAAATGAAATAAATGTTTTATTTTTAAAGAAGCACTTTAGCAATGTTTCCTAAAACTCCATTTTAGACCTTTTTTTTCTTGCTTTATCTTATTGTTAGAGGAACTGTTATTCTTCCCACTTTACAGATGACAAAACAAAGGCACAGAGAAGATGTAGCCTTGTGTCCAATGTCACAAAGTCAGTGAGGGGCAGAGATGAGGTTCGTCCTGGATGCCCCACTCTTAGTCTATGGAGAAGGAGGGAGATTTCACCTGTGTTTTGTTTTGCATTAAACTTTGTTCTTCTGAATAAGATTGAAAGGGAATTAGTCCTTACCCAGGACAATGGTTTCCATTTGAAGGGACTCCTGGTTCCAGGTCAAAGCTGCTGGAGCGCTCATGGTGCTGGGTGTTAAGTCCTCCTCCTGTGGAGTTACACACTGTGGATACAGTTATCCCAGATGCAAGACTTCTACCAACATTGTATTTATTCACCACTCTCAGGGAGTCCCTGTCCTACCTGTGGTATCAAAGCTCCCCTTGAAGATGTACAATTTAATGAAGAAGTAACCTTTTGAGATTAAAACAAAGGGCTTTGTGCATGTGTGGGCAGAGCTGATGTGTCCTGTTTGAGAACCTCCTATGGGTTTTGCAACTACAGGAACCTCCTGCCCTCCACCCCCCAGCTCCCACTCCCGTCAAATATGGCACAAAGAGCTTGCTGTCACCATCGGGACGAGGCACATCAGATTCTTGACTGCCTCCCTTGACTGCAGCGGGGAGGGCTGCTTGGGATCAAGTACAAAGGTGCCTTCCAGCTCCAGGATCCTCCACTCACACATTTTGCAAAATGGGTTCCGTGGGGACGCTGATGTGAGAATTAGGGGGACGATGTCGCTGTGGCCAAGCACATTTGAGAAACGCTGCCTTCAGGGAAGTGAAGTACCTTTCTTTCTTTCCTGCCGGGCTTCTTGGAGCTGTTCACATGCACTGTTGATCTGCAGGGCAGGCAGCGGGGACGCGGGTCCCAGCTGTGAGATTAAGGATTCTTTCATGCTAGGAAGCTTCACAGCTTACCGAATAGCCCTGGAAAATCCTGAGCCAGTTCATCTTCCCTCCAGACAGGCCCAGCTTCCCAGACATGCGATCGTGATAGGTGGGGCTGCCACCCTGGGTTGAAGACTACACTGTTGCCATCTCAAAATTCTCAACAAGAAGCCCTGAACAGGGGGTCCACATTATGAGTTTGTCCTGGGCTCTGAGAACAGTGTAGCTGGCCCTGTCTGTGGATACCCCAGAAGAGGAAATGAGGGGGCTCTCCCTGGTCTCCTTTTTCTCTGGGTTCTGAGTCTTCTCTCTTACTGCTCACTTTCTCCTCCATCACCTCCTGCTGCTCCTCTTCTCTTGGCCATTTCCTGTTCTTCTCCCTTCCCTTGCCCACTTTCTCTTCCACTTCCCGGCACAGGAGCTCTTTTCCAGCTGGGTTTTATAAACCCAAGGGGCAATAGTCTCCCTGCTTCTTTATTCCCTTTGGGGGCTTTTAATTATGGGAAGAGTCCACGTACAGGGATCTTCAAAAAGTTTGTGGAAAGTGGGTATTATAAAAAAAAAGTGTGACTCCATCTTTTTTTTTTTTTTTTAATTTGACAGATAGGGTTAGACAGGGAGAGAGAGAGACAGAGAGAAAGGTTTTCCTTCCATTGGTTCACCCCCTAAATGGCCGATACAGGCCTCTACAGCCGGAGCTAAGTCGATCCAAAGCCAGGAGTCAGGCGCTTCCTCCTGGTCTCCCATGCAGGTGCAGGGGCCCAAGCACTTGGGCCATCCTCCACTGCCTTCCCAGGCCACAGCGGAGAGCTGGATTGGAAAAGGAGCAACCGGGACTAGAACCCGGCACCCATATGGGATGCCGGCTCTGCAGGCGGAGGATTAACCAAGTGAGGCATGGCGCCGGCCCGTGACTCCATCTTTAAAAATTTATTTTCGAGGCTAGAGCTGTGGAGCAGCAAGTTAAAGCCTCTGCCTGCAGTGCTGGCATCCCATATGGGCAGTGGTTCAAGTCCTGGCAGCTCCACTTCTGATCCAGCTCTCTACTATGGCCTGAGAAAGCATTAGAAGATAGCCCAAGTCCTTGGGCCCCTGCACCCACGTGGAGACCTGGAAGAAGCTCCTGGCTCCTGGCTTTGGATCAGCACAGCTCCGGCCATTGCAGCCATGTGGGGAGTGAACCAGTGGTTGGAAGACCTCTCTCTCTCTCTTCTCTCTCTCTCTTTTTCTGCCTCTGCCTCTCTGTAACTCTGCCTTTCAACTAAATAAACAAATCTTAAAAAATAATAAATAAAATAAAAATTCATTTTCATGGGGCTGGCACTGTGGCATAGTGGGCTAAGCCTCTATCTGTGTTGCCAGAATCCCATATGGGCGCCGGTTCTAGTCCCAGCTGCTCCTCTTTCAATCCAGCTCTCTGCTATGGCCTGGAAGATGGCCCAAGTCCTTGGGCCCCTGCACCCATGTAGGAGACCTGGAAGAAGTTCCTAGCTCCTGGCTCCTAGCTCCTGGCTTCTGATCTGCCGAGCTCTTGAACCAGCAGATGGAAGACATTTATCTCTATCTGTATCTCTATTTCTCCTTCTCTGTCTGTAACTCTACCTCTCAAATAAATAAGTAAAAAGAAAGTACACTTTCATTTTATTTAGAGGCAGAGAGAGAGAGAGAGAGAGAGAGAGAGAGAGAGGTTTTCTACCTGTTGGTTCAGTCCTCAAATACCTGCAATGGCTAAGATTGAGAAAGGCTGAAGCCTGGAGCCAGGAACTCACCCTGGTCTCCCATGTGGATGGCAGGAATCCAACTGCTTGAGCCATCACTACTACCTCCCTGGGTGGGCATTAACAGGAAGCTAAAATCAGAAGCAAAGCCAGGACTCAAACCCCCACCCTTTGATGTGTCCCAAACAGCTATGCCAAATGCCCATCCTTCCCCCACCCCCAACATTTTTTTGCCTCAGAATAAACTTATTTTTAAAATTTTTTTAAAATTTTATAGAAAGCTTTGGGGTTGGCACCGTGGCACAGTAGGTTAATCCTCCGCCTGTGGCGCCTGCATCCCATATGGGTGCCAGTTCTAGTCCTGGCTGCCCCTCTTCCAATCCAGCTCTCTGCTAGGGCCTGGGAAGGCAGTGGAAGGTGGCCTGAGTGCTTGGGCCCCTGCACTTGCATGGGAGACCAGGAAGAATTTCCAGGCTCCTGGCTTCAGATTGGCGCAGCTCCAGCCGTTGTGGCCATCTGGGGAGTGAACCAACGGAAGGAAGACCTTTCTCTATTTCCCTCTTGCTGGCTGTAACTCTACCTCTCAAATAAATAAAATCTTTAAAAAAAGAAAGCCTTTATCCAATAAATATAAATTTCATAGGTACAACTTTTAGATTATAGCGGTTCTCGCTCCCATACCTGCCCTCCCACCCCAAACCATCCCACCTCCTACTCCCTCTCCCATCCCATTCTTCATTAAGATTTGTTTTTAGTTATCTTTATATACAGAAGATCAACTCTAAGTAAAGATTTTGACAGTTTGCACCCACATGACACACAACATATAAGGTACTGTTTGAAGACTGTAAACGTACTTTTAATTCCTCTTTCCCACGAACTTTTTCCTGGTGCTTTATCAAAGGTTCACAGTTTGGAGGGACGGTCATGGACGCTGAGTCATGCTGTGGAAACAGTGCTGGATGTGAGCACTCTGCTCCGAGCGCGGCTGCCTTCTCTCGTGTCCGGGTGTTAGGGAGGGAAGCCTGGGACATAGTGGAAAGCAGTCAGACTGTGCATTTCCCTGGTGACTCAAGCAGCACTTTCTGGGACTAACAATCTGCTGTCTAGACAGGGTAAAACAACATGCTGCTGTACCCTCTTCTGACAGCTAAAAGAAGGCATCGGCTTAGTGACCTCCGGGAACCGCAAGGAAAGAACCAGAACTGGAGGGGGGCCCCAGGCTCCCTGAGGTCACAAGGAGGCAAACTTTGGGGCCCCAGAGCCCTCACAGACCGCCCCCATCCCCATCTCATTCACCTTTCTCCTTTACCTTCTGTCTTTGTCAAGGCCTCTTTCATTGCAAGTGACATAAACTCAGCTCAACACACTGGAAGGAAAAAAGGAAATACCTTAGTTCCTCCTAACCGCGCAATGTAAGTAAGGTAGAGTTGAATTCAGGGGCCCACGCGAGGCCATGTGGACCTGTTTCCTGGCGCTCCTTCTCTGTGACCCCTGCTTGCCTCTGGGTCATGCTCTCACTCACAGGCAACATCATCCCTGACATCTCTCAGCTGTCACTTGCTGCACGCTTATGCTCTTTCACCTGTCAATCCACCAAGACCCCCCACAGCAAACCTGGAGGGCAGCAGGGAATGGCCCCGCCAGAGGATGACTCACACCTTACAAAGTCACCGTCCCTCCTCGCCACCCCCACCCCAGCAACCACAGGCACCTGGAGAAGGCAGTGGCCTCTGATGGGCCTGGGGTGGGTCCTGAGCCCACCACATGTAGCGCTGGAAGGGACTCCGGCACCCTCATGCAGCATGGGTACTTTGAGAGAGGGGTTCCTAATACTCAAAGAGGGGGGCCCTCTGTGACTGTACCTTCTCAGTCTTGTTCATCGACCCCGTCATCCCCTGCTCTGCTGACATCTGCCTCTGGGCCTTTGTCCTTCTCTCCCTTTCCCCAGTATACTCTGGCCTCGTGGGTGCTCAGATAGTGCTTTAGGGGCTCTGTGGGAGGGGCGATGGGACCCAGGTGACCTTCCATGGGGCAGGCAGATGGAGTGTGGAATTGTGACGAGTTGGCGCTATGCTAGCCACTTGCAGTCAGCACTTTTAGGGGGCACTGCGCTGAGTGGCAGGTGAGTTAGCACAAACCTGGGGCTAGAGGGCAAGGACTGGAGGACATCTCAGAGAGCCAAAAGCAGCTAAGCCTGTCTGCTCACTCCTCCAGCTCCACAGCAGGCTGCTGTCCTCTGATGGCGCTCCCCGCTCTGGGGAAAGATGACCATCCAGCCTGTGTGGACGCTGGGTAGCTTCCATGCCCTCCATTATGCTACACCCTTGGTGTCTCCTTGCCCAGTTTTTCAGAAAGAGAGAATGCCTCTGGTCCCTGGCCAGGAAGTGCGTTGGTTCTCCCATTGGACCAGTGATGAGTCCATCAGGGTCTGGCCACTCAGGCCATGGGTGGGGAGCAGGTCTGAGAGGAGGGGTTGTGGGCAGCTGTCTTACAGGTTAATGAATTAAAGCTCAGAGAAGTTTAATGACTCATGAAGGCCTCCCAGCCAGCGAGAGGTGAAGGTTGGCTTCCAAGTCAGTGGCTTGGCCACTGCTTCCTCCTATTTGTGATGAAAGAGCCATGTCCTCAGCCCTAAGTGTGACCAGGAAAGAGGCTGGGTTCTGGTGGACCTGTATGCTTTGGTTTCAATAGAATTTGTCTCCTCTGCACTCATGTTGGAGCTTAATCCCCATGGTGATGTATCTAGTGGGTGCAAACAATGCAACTGTGGGGTTTGGGGGCCATGATTAGGATTAGAGGAGGTCCTCAGGGTAGAACCCCCAAGACTGAAACCTGGTGGTTTTGTAAGAAGAAGGAGAGAGACCAAAAGAGACACACACATGCGTGCTCCCCATCTGTCTCCATGGGATGCCCCACTCTGCCAGCAAGGACGCCGAGGCAACTCCTTGCTCTTCAATGAGAACTGTGAGCCTAGAAAAAGCTCTTTATTTGCAACTTATCCAGTCTGTGCTTATGTTCTTAGCAACCAGAAAATGGACCAAGATACCGTGGTAAGCATTGAATGTCTACACTCAAGTGGAGAGAACCTAAAGCCTTTGGGTTATACTGGCCTGGCCTCACTGACCATCAGGGACACAGGGGTGGAAACTGATGGCAGGGTAAGGGGGCGGGTCCAGAAAGGATGGAAAGAAATGGAATAAAATGGAGAAAAGGGGCCGGCACCTTTGCTCAATAGGCTAATCCTCCGCCTGCAGCACTGGCACACCGGGTTCTAGTCCCAGTCAGGGTGCCGGATTCTATCCCGGCTGCTCCTCTTCCAGGCCAGCTCTCTGCTGTGGCCCAGGAGTGTAGTGGAGGATGGCCCAGGTCCTTGGGCCCTGCACCTGCATGGGAGACCAGGAGAAGCACCTGGCTCCTGGCATCGGATCAGCGCGGTGTGCCAGCCGTGGCGGCCATTGGGGGTGAACCAACGGCAAAGGAAGACCTTTCCCTCTCTCTCTCTCTCTCTCTCTCTCACTGTCCATTCTGCCTGTCAAAAAAAAAAAAAAAATGGAGAAAAGGATGCTCAGAAATAGCCAGTCAGGGAAGACTTGGTCCACATGTTGACATTATGGACTGTGCTTCCTGCTCTACTATGTTGTAAGAAATTCCGGAACAGTGCACTGTCTAGGCATTACATTGAAAATGAATGGAAGGAAGTCCTCCACTTGCTGCCTAAGTAAACATTAAGTCCAAAGACTCTGTTATACTCAGAGACATTAGGAAATATGCTACATACGACTTGGATTGAACAGCCACACTTAATTGACAAGTTCAAAACCAGCTGATGGCTCTAT